TCCAATTCTCATCTCTGACAAAATAGATTTTAAAGCAACAAAGATCAAAAGAGACAAAGAAGGTCATTATATAACAGTAAAAGGATTGATACAAGAAGAGCTAACCATCCAAAATATATATGGACCCAATACAGGAGCACCCAGATATATAAGGCAAGTTCTTAACGACCTACAAAGAGACTTAGACTCCCACACAATAATAATGGGAGACTTAGCACTCCACTGTCAATATTAGACAAATCAACCAGGCAGAAAATTAACAAGAATATCCAGGGCTTGAACTCAGACCTGGAACAAGCAAACTTGATAGACATTTACAGAACTCTCCACCCCAAATCCACAGAATATACATTCTTCTCAGCACCACATCACACCTACTCTAAAACTGACCACATAATTGGAAGTAAATCACTCCTCAGCAAATGCAAAACAATGAAAATCATAACAAACAGTCTCTCAGACTATAGTGCAATCAAGTTAGAACTCAGAATTCAGAAACTAACTCAGAACTGCACAGCTTCGTGGAAACCGAACAACTGGCTCTTGAATGTTGACTGGATAAACAATGAAATGAAGGCAGAAATAAAGAAGTTCTTCAAAACCAATGAAAACGAAGACACAAGATGCCAGAATCTCTGGGACACATTAAAAGCAGTCTCCAGAGGAAAATATATAGCAGTAAATGCCCATATGAGAAGAGTGGAGGGATCCAAAATTGACACCCTATCATCAAAATTGAAAAAGCTGGAGGAGCAAGATCAAAAAAATTCAAAACCTAGCAGAAGACCAGAAATAACTAAGATCAGAGCAGAAGTGAAGGAGATAGAGACACGAAAATCCCTTCAAAAATCAATAGATCCAAGAGCTGGTTTTTAAAAAAGATCAACAAAATAGACCACTAGCCAGATTGATAAAAAAGCAAAGAGAAAACAACCAAATAGATGCAATAAAAAATGATAAAGGGGAAATCACCAAAGATTCCACAGAAATTCAAATCATCATCAGAGAATACTACAAACAACTCTATGCACATAAACTAGTAAACCTGGAAGAAACGGATAAATTCCTGGACACCTGTGTCCTCCCAAGCCTAAACCAGGAGGAAGCCGAAACTATGAATAGACCAATAGCAAGGTCTGAAGTCGAGGCAGCAATTAAGAGCTTACCACACAAAAAAAGCCCAGATCCAGATGGGTTCACAGCCGAATTCTACCAGACACACAAAGAGGAGCTGATACTATTCCTTCTGAAACTATTCCAAATAATCCAAAAAGAGGGAATCCTTCCCAAATCATTTTATGAGACCAACATCATTTTGTTTCCAAAACCCAGCAGAGACCCAACAAGAAAAGAAAACTTCAGGCCAATATCCATGATGAACATAGATCCAAAAATCTTCAATAAAATACTGGCAAGCCGATTGCAACAACACATCAAAAAACTTATCCATCATGATCAAGTAGGATTTATCCCAGGAATGCAAGGCTGGTTCAACATACGCAAGTATATAAACGTAATTCACCACATAAACAGAACCAAAAACAATAACCACATGATTATCTCAATTGATGCAGAGAAGGCATTTGACAAAATTCAACAGCCCTTTATGCTAAAAACCCTCAATAAACTAAGTATCGATGGAACATATCTCAAAGTAATAAAAGCTATTTATGACAAACCAACAGCCAATATCATACTTAATGGGCAAAAACTGGAAGCATTCCCTTTGAAATCCGGGACTAGACAAGAATGCCCTCTCTCACCACTCCTATTCAATATAGGACTGGAAGTTCTAGCCAGAGCATCAGGCAACAAAAAGAAATAAAGCGTATTCAAATAGGAAAGGTGGAAGCCAAATTGTCTCTATTTGAAGACGACATGATAGTATACCTAGAAGACCCCATTGCCTCAGCCCAAAAACTCCTGAAACTGATAAGCAACTTCAGCAAAGTCTCAGGATATAAAATCAATGTGAAAAAATCACAAGCATTCCTATACACCAATAACACACTTAAACAGAGCCAAATCAAGAACGAACTGCTACAAAAAGAATAAAATACCTAGGAATACAACTTACAAATAACGTAAGGGACCTCTTCAAGGAAAACTACAAGCCACTGCTCAATGAAATCAGAGAGGACACAAACAGATGGAGAAACATTCCATGTTCATGATTAGGAAGAATTATTATCGTGAAAATGGCTATACTGCCCAAAGTAATTTACAGAATCAATGCTATCCCCATCAAGCTACCATTGACTTTCTTCACAGAACTGGAAAAAACCACCATGAACTTCATATGGAACCAAAAGAGAGCCTGCATAGCCAAGTCAATTCTAAGCAAAAATAACGCAGCGGGGGGCATCACACTACCGGATTTCAAACTACACTACAAGGCTACAGTAATCAAAACAGCATGGTACTGGTACCAAAACAGAGATATAGACCAATGGAACAGAACAGAGGCATCAGAGGCAACACAACATATCTACTATTATACAATCTTTGATAAACCTGACAAAAACAAGCAATGGGAAAAGGATTCCCTATTTAATAAATGGTGTTGGGAAAACTGGTTAGTCATGTGCAAAAAGCAGAAACTGGACCCCTTCCTGACACCTTACACTAAAATTAACTCCAGATGGATTAAAGACTTAAACATAAGACCTGGCACCATAAAAACCCTAGAAGAAAATCTAGGCAAAACCATTCAGGACATAGGAGTAGGCAAGGACTTCATGACTAAAACACCAAAAGCATTGGCAACAAAAGCCAAAATAGACAAATGGGACCTAATAAAACTCCACAGCTTCTGGACGGCAAAAGAAACAGTCACTAGAGTGAATCAGCAACCAACAGAATGGAAAAAAATTTTTACAGTTTACCCATCTGACAAAGGGCTGATATCCAGAATTTACAAAGAACTCAAACAGATTTACAGGAAAAAAAACTAGCCCATTCAAAAATGGGCAAAGGATATGAACAGACACTTTACAAAAGAAGACATACATGAGGCCAACAAACATATGAAAAAATGCTCATCATCACTGGTCATTAGAGAGATGCAAATCAAAACCACATTGAGATACCATCTCATGCCAGTTAGAATGGCAATCATTAAGAAATCTGGAGACAACAGATGCTGGAGAGGATTTGGAGAAATAGGAACAATTTTACACTGCTGGTGGGAGTGTAAATTAGTTCAACCATTGCGAAAGACAGTGTGGCGATTCCTCAAGGCCTTAGAAATAGAAATTCCATTTGACCCAGCAATCCCATTACTGGGTATATATCCAAAGGACTATAAATTGTTCTACTATAAGGACACATGCATACGAATGTTCATTGCAGCACTGTTTACGATAGCAAAGACCTAGAACCAACCCAAATGCCCATCAATGATAGACTGGATTGGGAAAATGTGGCACATATACACCATGGAATATTACGCAGCAATCAAAAATGATGAGTTCGTGTCCTTTGTAGGGACATGGATGAATCTGGAGAACATCATTCTCAGCAAACTGACACAAGAACAGAAAATAAAATATCGCATATTCTCACTCATAGGCGGGTGATGAAAAATGAGAACACATGGACACAGGGAAGGAAGTACTACAAACTGGGGTCTATTGGGGGGTATGAGGGAGGGACAGCAGCGGGGGAGCTGGGGAGGGATAGCCTGGGGAGAAATGCCAAATGTGGGTGAAGGGGAAGAAGGCAGCAAAACACACTGCCATGTGTGTACCTATGCAACTATCTTGCATGTTCTGCACATGTACCCCAAAACATAAAATGCAATAAAAAAAAGAAGGAAATTAAAACCTGAATATAAAAGGCTGTAGGACCAGACTGAAATTAGAGAAGAGGGGGACATTTCCAAACTCATTCTTTGAGGCCAGTATTACCCAATATCAAAACCAGACGAAGAAACATTGAAAAAGCAAACTACAGGCCCATATCTGAGAATATTGATGCAAAAATGTCCAAAATACCTAGCAAACTGAATGAAAGAATACATAAACAGGTAACTCATAATGATCAAGTGGGATTTATTCCAAGGATGTAAAGATGGTTCAACATCAAAATCAATGTGATACATCATATAAACTGAATAAAGGACAACATCCATGTGATCATTTCAATTCTGCTAAAAAATTATATAATAAAATTTAATATTTTTTTGTTAAACAGAGTCTCACTCTGTCACTAGGCTGGAGTGCAATGGCATGAGCTTGGCTCACTGCAACCTCTGCCTCCAGGTTCAAGGGATTATCCTTCCTCAACCTTCTGAGTAGTGGGGACTACAAATGTGCACCACCATGCTCAGCTATTTTTTCTGTATTTTTAGTAGAGACAGTGTTTGACCATGTTGGCCAGAACACTCTCCATCTCTTTACCTTGTGATCACCCATCTCAGCCTCCCAATGTGCTGGGTTTGCAGGTGTGAGCCACTGAGCCCAGCCAAAATTTAATATTCTTTTATAATAAAAAACCCTTTGAAAACTGGGTATGGAATGAACATACTTTAACATAATAAAAGTCACATATGACAGACACATAGCTAGTATCATACTGAGTGAGGGAAAACTAGAAGCTTTCTTCTGAAATCTGGAAGATGACAAGAATGTCCACTTTTACCACAGTTATTCAACATAATTCTAGCTGGAGTACTAGCTGGAGCGATCAGATAAGTGAAAGCAATAAAGGGCATTCCAACTGGAAAAGAATTCAAACTATTTTCTTTTTGCTGATGATATAATCTTATATTTGGAACAAAATAAAGACTCCTCTGATAGGGTTTAAATATACATTTAAACCTCCCAAATATCATATTGAAATGTAATTCTCAATGTTGGAAGTGGGCCTGGTGAAAGGTGATTTAACCATCAGGGTAGATTACTCATAAATGGCTTAGCACCATCCCATTTGGTACTATCCTCATGATAGTGAGTGAGTTCCCATAAGATCTGGTTATTTAAAAGTGTGTAACAACTTACTCCTTTGTTTTTTGCTCCTGCTTTTTGTCCTGTGATGTGCAAGATTCTGCTTCATCTTCTGCCATGATTGTAGACTTCCAGAGGCCTCCCCAGACGCATATGCCAGGGCTATGTCTTCTTTACAGCCTGTAGAATCATGAGCCAGTTAAACTTCCTTTTTAAAAATAAATTACCCAGTCTCAGGCATTCATAATAATGCAAAAATGGCTTAATACAAAAAATTGAAACCAAAAAGGGAAAATTGTTGTAAGAATACCTAAAAATGTGGAATAAGCTTCATAATTGGGTACACAGGCAGAGGTTGGAAGAGTTTGTAGAACTCAGAAGAAGACAGAAAAATGAGGGAACGTTGATATTTTCTTAAAGACTGGTTGAATGGCTGTGACCAAAATGCTGATAGTAATCTGGACAGTGAAGGCCAGACTGAGGTGGTCTCGCATGAGAATTAGGAACTTACTGGGACCAAAGCAAAGGTCATGCATGTTATGTCTCAGCCAAGTGCATGCCCTAGAGATATATAAACGTTTGAATTTGAGAGTGTGACAATTTAGGATTTCTTTTGGAAGAAATGTCTAAGAAGCAAAGCATTCAAGATATGGCCTGGATGCTTCTAACAACTTATACTTACATGCTGGAGCCAAAAAAATAAGTTGTAACTTCTATATACAAAAGAAGCATGGTGTAAAATTTTGAAAACTTTGCAGGCTAACCATGTGGCAGAAAAATAAAGAGCTTTTATAAGAGAGAAATTCAAGTAGGCTGTGGAGCAACCAATGTTAGAGATATTTGCATAATTTAAAAAAAAAACAAGTATTGATAGCCAAGGCAATGAGATGGAGGACTTGAAGGCATTTTAGAAATCTAAGAGGCAGCCTTCCATCACAGGCCCTGAGATCTAAAATAAGACAATAGTTTCTGGGATCAGGCTGAGGACCATACTCTCTTGGGAGGCCTTGGAACATGGCTTCCTGCATCCTGGCCACCGCTCCAGCTCCAGGAGTATCTCAGATTGGCCCAGTTACAACTCCAGTCACTTCTTCAGAGGGTTTAAGTCATAAGCCTTGGTAGCTTCCATGTGCTGTTAAGCCTATTACAAAATGCAAAAGTTGAGACTTGAAAGCCTCCACCTTTATTTCAAAAAATTATGCAAAAGCCTGGGAGTTCAGGCAGAAACATGCTGCAGTGGTGGAGCCCTCATGGAGAATTTCTATTAAAACAATGCAGAGAAGAAATGTGGGATTACAGTCCCCATACAGGGGCCCCACTGGGGCATGGCATAGTAGATCTACGAGGAGAGGATCATTGTCCTCCAGACCCCAGAATGGTAGATCCAGCTACAGCTTGAGATTTGCACCATGAAAAGTCAGAGGCAAACAATACCAGCCCATGAGAGCAGCTGTAGGGGCTGAACCAGGCAGAGCCACAAGGTCAGACTTTCCCAAAGCATTAATATGTCCAGGAAATGGGACAGAGAGTCAAAAATAATTATTTTGAATTCTTATAATTTAATAACTGCCCTTCTAGGTTTCATACTTGCATGGGTCCTGTGGCCCCTTTCTTTCTTTCTTTTTTTTTTTTAACAAGTACTCAGCATTTAATGAACCTCCCTCCATGTGGCTTCAAGCCATGAGGACACAGGCCCCCCCAACACCCTTAATCTTCTCCTCAGCTCTTCTGCTGAAGAATTTGGCCTTGACGATGACAGGCTGCTTTGGGAGCTTTCCCTTGCCCAGAACTTTATAGTAGCCCGATCGCACCACATCAATGATGGGAGCAGCTCCAGTCTTGTTTTTAGCAGCATTCACCCGTGTCTGCTCACTGACCAAAGTCCACAATTTGTCAAGGTTGACAGTTGGGCAGAAGCTCTGGTTCCTCTTTAAGTGGTAATGCCTCATACCAACTTTCCCAAAGTAACCTGGGTGGTATTTGTCGAAGTTGATCCTGTGGTGATGCATTCCACCAGCATTACCACGGCCTCCGGGGTGCTTCCGGTGCTTGCCGATGCGGCCGTGGCCGTGACTCACGTGGCCCCGAAGTTTCCGGGTCTTCCTCAGTCTGGATGGCATGTTGGCGGCCCAGACGAAAGAGCCTGTGGCCCCTTTCTTTTGGCTGATTTCTTCCTTTTAGAATAGGAGTATTTACCCAATGCCTATACCCCTTTTGTATCTTGGAAGTACCTACCTAACTTTTTTTTTTTAAACAGGCATATAGAAGGAAGAAACTAGTTTTGCCTTAGATGAAACTTTTGAATCAAGGCTAAAATGAGCTAAGACTTTGGGGATTATTGGGAAGTCATGATTGTATTTTAAAATATGAGAAGGGCCGGTTCGGCGCAGAGCCCTGGGCCCGGCTGCAGCCCGGCTGCGGGCCCCAGCGCAGTGCTGGCGTTCCCGGAGGCCAGAGCGTGGCAGGGTCCCTTGGCGTCGGCCAGAGCGGGGCAGGCCCGGGACACAGGCGGCCGGCGCCCTCGGAGCCAAAGGCGCACGACGGACACGGCGGAACACTCGAGCACCTGGAGAGGATGCCAAAGCTGCAGGGCTTCGAGTTCTGGAGTCACACCCTTCGGGGTCCCGCCACGTGGTGGCCCCCATGGTGGACCAGAGCGAGCTGGCCTGGAGGCTGCTGAGCCGGCGCCACGGGGCACAGCTCTGCTACACGCCCATGCTGCATGCCCAAGTCTTCGTCTGCGACGCCAATTACCGGAAGGAGAACCTGTACTGTGAGGTGTGCCCCGAGGACCAGGCCCTCATCGTGCAGTTCTGTGCCAATGACCCGGAGGTGTTTGTTCAGGTGGCTCTCCTGGCTCAGGTTTACTGTGACGCCATCGACCTGAACCTCAGTTGCCCACAGATGATAGCCAAGAGAGGTCACTATGGCGCCTTCCTGCAGGACGAATGGAACCTGCTCTAAAGAATAATTTTGCTGGCTCACGAGAAAGTCTCTGTTCCCGTCACGTGCAAAATCCGTGTCTTCCCAGAGATTGACAAGACCGTGAGCTATGCCCAGATGCTGGAGAAGGCCGGCTGCCATTTGCTGATCATTCATGGGCGCACCAAGGAGCAGAAGGGGACCCTGTCAGGTGCAGCCTCCTGGGAACACATTAAGGCTGTGTGGAAAGCTGTGGCCATTCCTGTGTTTGCCAATGGGAACATCCAGAGCCTACAGGATGTGGAGGGCTGCATCCAGGACACGGGTGTACAGGGTGTCATGAGCGCAGAAGGCAACCTGCACAACTCTGCCCTCTTTAAGGGCTGGAGCCCTGCCGTGTGGGAGCAGGCCGAGGGATACCCGGACATCGTGCGGGAGCACCCCTGCCCACTGTTCTACGTCCGGGTCCACCTCTTCAAGCTGTGGTACCACACACTGCAGGTGCATCAGCAGCTGCGAGAGGAGCTGGCCAAGGTGAAGACCCTGGAAGGCATTGCCGCCGTGAGCCAGAAGCTGAAGATGCGGTGTCAGGAGGAGATATCCAGGCAGGAGGGAGCGAAACCCGCCGGCGACTTGCCCTTCTACTGGATCTGCCAGCCCTACGTCCGGCCGGGGCCCAGGGAGGGGAGCAAGGAGAAGGCAGGTGGGCGCAGCAAGCGGGCCCTGGAGGAGGCGGAGTGTGGCACGAAAGTCCTGTCCAAGAACAAGCAGAAGAAGCAGCTGAGGAACCCCCACAAGACCTTAGACCCCTCTCTGAAGCCAAAATATGCAAAGTGTGACCAGTGTGGCAACCCAAAGGGCAACAGATGTGTGTTTGGCCTGTGCCACGGCTGCTGCAAGAGGCGAGCCTCAAAAGAGACCGTGGACTGCCCAGGTAGCACGGATTGCTTTTTAAAACCAAATTGGAGAAGTCTTTGGCCTGGAAAGGGACCCAGCCTGAGCTGCAGGAGCCTCAGACAGCCACGCCTCACACACCAGGTGGCTTCTCAGAAGTCATGAGTAGTGCTGTGGCCTGAAGGCCCAGAACCCCCACCCTCAGGGCCGCTCCTGGAGGCTGGACACTTCCTACTTAAGGAAACGTCTTTTACTCAGGGAATCTCCCCTTTCTTAACGTGGAAAGATGCGCCCTGTCGCCCTTGGCCCGCTCTGGGGGCCTGGAATGCTGCAGTGGGGAGCAGGCCCCAGGCTGGACCTGCTCTGTCCTCAGCACACATGTGCAAAACTGAACAATAAATCATTTCAAAGAAAAATAAAATAAAATAACATATGAGAAGGATATAAGATTTGGAATGGCCAAGGGCGAACTAATATAGTTTGAGCGTGTGTCCCCACCAAAATCTCATATTGAAATGTAATCCTCAATGTTGGTGGTGGGTCTGCTGGGGAGGTGATTCAATCATGAGGGCAGAATTTCCATGAATATTTTGGTATCATTTTCTTATTCTTACATAGTAAGTTTTAATGAGAGCTGGTTGTTTAAAAGTATGTAGCACTTCCCCCCACAGACACCCTCGAATTTACAATGTGATGTACAAGCACCAGATTTATCTTTTACCTTGGGTGTCAGCTGTCAGAGGCTTTTCCAGAAACAGAACCCAGTGCTATGCTTTCTGTACAGCTTGTAGAACCATGAGCCAATTAAAACTTTTTTTTATAAATTACCCAAATTATTTCTTTATAGCAATGTAAGAATTGCCTAACATATCCACTAAAAAGACTATTAGAACTAATAAGTTAATTAAATTTGCAGAATACAAAATTGATATATACAAATCAGTAGAATTTCTATAAGCCAACAGTGAACAAACTGAAAAAGAATTTTAAAAAATAATGCTATTTGCGATAGCCACAAATAAAACAAAATGTGTAAAAATTAACCAAAGAAATACAAGTTCTCAACAATTAAAACTATAAAACACTGGTATAAGAAAGGAAAGAGGACACAAAACATAGAAAAATATTTCTATGTTCACAGATTGGGAGAATCAGTATTTTTAAAATGTTCCCACAATCCAAAGCAATCTATAGATTTTATGCCATCTCCACTAAAATAATAATGACATTCTTCAAAGAAATAGATAAAGAATTCTGAAATTTATATGGAACAATAAAATACTATAATAATCAAATCTATGCTGAGTATATAAAACAAAACAGGAGGAATCCCATTACCTGGCTTCAAATTATACTACCAAGCTATAGTAATTAAAACAGCATGGCCCTAGCATAAACACAGATATGGATCAGAATAGAGAACCCAGAAACAAACTCATAAACCTAGAGTAAACTTATTTTCAATGAAAGTGCCAAGAACATACAATAAAAAATAAGACAATTTCTTCAATAAATAGAGCTGGGAAAATTGGCAAGTCATAGGCAGAAAAATGAAACTAGAACCCTATTTCTGGCCACATACAGAAACCAAATTAAAATAAGTTAAAGACTTAAACCTAACATCCCAAACTATCAAACTTTTACAAGAAAACATTGGGGAAACTCTCTAGGGCATTGGTTTGAGCAAAAATTTCTTAAATAATGCCCCATAAGCAAAGACAAACAAAGCAAACGTGGACAATGGGATTACAGCAAGTTAGAGAGCTTTTTTACAGTGAAGGAAACAATCAACAAAGTGAAGAGAAAACCCACAGAATGGGAGAAAATATTTGTAAATTAGCCATCTGAAAAGGGATTAATAGCTACATAATGTGGTTAGGATTTGTGTCTTCACCCAAATCTCATATTAAATTTTACTCACCAATTGTTGAGGTAGAGACCTGGTAGAAAGTGATTAAATCAAGGGGGTGCTTCCCCCATGCTTTTCTTGTAATAGTGAATGAGTTCTTATGACATCTGATGCTTCTGTAAGGATATCTCCCCTCTTTGCTTTACATACCTGCTCTCTCTCCTACTGCCATGTAAGAGATGTCTGCTTCCCTATCTGCCATGATTGTAAGTTTCCTGAGGCCTCCCCAGCTGTGTGAAACTGTGAGTCAATTAAACTGATTTTTTTTATAAATTACCAGTCTCATGTATTTTTTCATTGCAGTGCAGTAGCAGACTAACACAGAACAATATATTAAGAGTTCAAAACATTCTATGGAAAAAATGTAATAACCTAATTAAAGAGTAAGCAAAAAATTTAAATAAACATTTGTGAAAAGAAGACATACAAATGGCAAACAGACAAATGAAAAGGTGCTTCATATTACTGATTATTATAGAAATGCAAATCAAACTTACAATGAGATATCATTTTACCCCCATACCCTGTTGTTGGAAACAATTTGGATGTTTCCGATATAACTAAAAATAGAACTACAATATGATCCAGGAATCTCACTGTTGAGTATATACCTAAAAAAAATAAAATTGACAAATCAAAGACATATCAGTACTCCCATGTTTGCTATGGCAGGGTTTATGATAGCCAAGATTTGGAAAGAATCTAAATGTGTACTAAGAGATGACTGGATAGAGAAAATATGGTACATATACACTATCCAGCTATAAGAGAGAATGAGAGTCTGTCATTTACAATGACATAAATGGAACTGAAAGTCTTTATGTTAAGTGAAATAAGTCAGACACAGAAAGACAAATGTCATATGTTCTTATTTATTTGTGGGTGCTAAAATTCTAAACAATTGATCTCATAGGGACAGAGTATAAGGATGGCTACTGGAGTCTGGGAAGGGCAGTGGGGGAAGAGGGGGATAGTGGGAATGTTATATGGGTACAAAAAATTGTTAGAAAAATGAATAAAACAATATTTGACAGCACAACAGGGCGATTATAGTCAAAAATAATTTATACATTTTATAATGACTAAAAGAGTATAATTGGATTGTTTATAACACAAGCAATTAACGAATGAGGGGATGGATACCCCATTTTTTATTATGTATTACTCATTGAATGCCTGTGTCCAAGTATGTCATGTACCCCCATAAATATATACACAAATTATGTATCCATAAAAATAAATTTAAAAATTAAATTATTTTTTAAAAAGGGAGGAGAGTATAATTAGGTATGTGTGATCCATGGCCTGAACTAACTTTTCAGGTTAACTTTGAAATGTCCTTATCCAAGAAGAAGGTTCCATTTAAACAATAGGGTCTTAGGAATTTATTTTTGGTTTACAAGTGGAAGAAAGAAAGATTTTTAATCCTGAG